CGGGTAGCTAAAATAGTTCAAGACCAATGCAAATACCTTTGGTATACTTCTGATGTTGGAGAGACAAACGCGCCCGGATTCCTCGCAACTGACATTTGCCTTTTCTGGACTATCGTATCTTGTTGACAGTTCCATACGATTCACCTCAGCAACGCTCGTTATTTGATATTTCCACTTATTAGACTTATGATAAACTCATATCAACGGTATCGTTATCTTTGTTCCTAGACGTATCATAGCATACAAGTACCGCGCGCGTCTCGTACGCCAACCTCATTTGCATTGTCCCGGAAGACGTGCTGAGTGAGGTGAGACGCGCGCCATACCCTGTCGTTTGTTTACCGTTTGCTTACATGTATCCTGTAGCCTTTGTTGTCTTGCTACAGGTAATCTACTATCTTTGCATTGTCCCGGAAGACGTGCTGAGTGAGCCTTTGTTGTCTTGCTACAGACGACAACTACGTCTTCGCAGAGATCATTCATAGCCAAAAGGTTATGAGCCCAAGCTTCCTCGGGCTATAGCTGCATATAATCCATCCCCCCCTGTCGTTACTGATACACAATATGTCTTCTGACCGACCCTCCGATACCCTCCCCTCATCAGTGCCGAAGCTGGATCCTTCTGGCGTGAACTTCGCTGTATTTTCTGAGCGCTTCGAGACTGCCGTAAGGGCGAAACGACTCTGGGGTCACTTCTCTGGGTCGACAGCGAAGCCACAGCCACGTAGCACTGTCCCCACCCAGGAGGAAGAGGACAAGGTTACGAAGTGGGATGATGATGAAGCCGTCGCCATGTACCTGCTCAGCCAGAAACTCCCTGACTCTGCTTTCCTTAAGGTTCGCAACCGGCGTACAGTGGCTGAACGATGGGCTGCTATCCGCGACGAGTTCACCCACAAAGGTCTTCACATGCAGGCTGATATCCGTCGCCGCTTCATGGCAAGCAAGTGCCCACCGAAGGGCAACGTTCGCGAGTTCCTTGAAGGATTACTCACAAGGAAGGAGGAGCTGGCGTCTATTGGCGTTGACATCAGCGATAAAGACTTACGAGCGACAATAGTTGCTTGTCTCCCTGAAGGTCTCTCACGTTTCGCGGCTCAGACGCTCGCATCTATCGAGCTTATGGCGAAGATGGACTTGATGTCTATGCCATCTGTTCCGGGTCTCAGTCAGCCATCAGAGCCAAAGGCTATCGACCCTGCGCTCCTGATATCTATGATCTCGGAGGAGTACGAGCGGCGGAAGGCACTCGCCAGTGACAAGGGTTCGTTGAAGGCTAGGGGTGATGGGGACGAGGCATTAGCTGTCGAGTCAAAGAAAGGCCAGACGAAGAAACGCCCACCAGTATGCTGGAACTGCGGTGAGACAGGCCACATCAGTAGAGACTGCTCGAAGCCTCGGAAGAAGAAGGACGACAACAACGACAAGGCGTCGAAGTCGAAGGGGAAGTCCAAAGGCACCGCTAATGCTGCGGAGTCTGAATCCGAGGGCGAGGGGGTCTACAGTGTCGTTGATCGCGACATCGAGAGTGACAGCGACGTGCCGCCACTCGAGTCTATCGCTCCTGTCGAAGATGACTATGCGGACATGCCGGATTTGATGTCAGTCTGCGACAGTGACGAAGAGGATGATGACGTCGGTGAAGACCCGTTCTCGGACTTGTACCAGGACGGCATGGACTCAGATGGGTCATGGGACCGGTGCGAGTCGAGCGGCGACGAAGCGGACACATTCGCGCTGTCGTCGGAAGCCGCTGACGCGATTGCTACCGAGCTTGAGGGGCTTGAGGCCACAGAGGTGCAGGCCGTGATAGAGGCTGTTACCAAAGAGCCTGTCGAGGTCACCGCCTATGTCAGTGACAAGATCTATGCCAACAACGCACCACGCAAAGAGCTGTACGACTCCGGCGCTACGCGCCACCTGTCCCCGTATCGAGACGACTTCGAGTCATTCATCGAGATCCCGGCAAAGGTTTTCACCGCTGCGAACCACAGGACTTCAGTGCAGTCGGCAAAGGTGATCTCGTAGTCGACGTACCTAATGGCATTGATCCATCGAAGCTACGTTTGACCGAGGTCCTGTATTCCCCCGAAATCGGTTATACCCTCATCTCCATCGGGCGTCTCGACGAAGCCGGTTACACCGCGACCTTCGGAGACGGGAAGTGCGAAATCCGCGACAGTAGCGGTGAGACTGTTGGGCAGATCCCGCGGTCGGCAAAGGGCCTATATCGTGTTGTGCATGAGTCGGTCGAACCGGAGGACGAGGTTGTGGGCGCTGCGATGGAGCACGTCACGATCGCCGAGCTTCATCGTCGAATGGGCCACATATCGCCGGAGGTCGCGCGCCGCCTTGTCGAGAAAGGTTTCGTCACTGGGTTGGCCCTGGATAAATCCTCTAACGAACCATTCTTCTGTGAGTCGTGCGTAAAGGCGAAAGCGACAAGACAGCCTGTGCCAAAAGTCAGAGAAGGTCAACGGGCAGAGAAGTTCGGTGACGAGATACACACCGATGTTTGGGGGCCATCATCCGTCCAAACCCTTGGTGGTCGCCGCTACTATGTTACGTACACAGATGACGCGACTCGACACACGCACCTATACTTGCTTCGTAGCAAGGACGAGGTTTTTGACTCCTACAAGAACTTTGAAGCCTGGTGCCGCACGCAGCATAAGACTGCTATCAAATCGTTACACTCTGACCGCGGCGGGGAGTACCGCAGTAACGAGATGAAGGCACATCTCCGAAATGCCGGTACGACTGCAAAACTCACTGTACACGATACGCCGGCACAGAACGGTGTCGCCGAGCGTCTGAACCGGACCCTGCTGGAGAAGGTTCGTGCAATGCTGCATGCGAGTGGCCTCCCGAAGTTTTTGTGGGGTGAAGCCGTCCGTCATGCCGTTTGGTTGAAAAACCGTACATCGACAAAAGCTCTCGACGGCAAGACACCGTACGAGGCGCTTACCGGAGAAAAGCCGAACTTACGCGGTGTGCGCGAGTGGGGAGCTCGCGTATGGGTCCATGATGGTCGAAAAGGTTCCAAACTTGCTGAACGGGCGCGCGAAGGTCGACTGGTGGGCATATCGGATGAGTCTAAGGGGTACCGAGTGTACTGGCCACGTACGCGGACGGTTACAGTCGAACGTAACGTCTACTTTGACGATAGTGCGGCGTCTGAAGGACGTTTCGAGGGGGAGCTTATGGAAGATTTCGATATAGTTAGCGAAACGCCTTCAGCTCCGCAGGAAACACCTACCGATGCCAAACCCGAGGACCCCCAACTGCGCGTCACTTCCACGTCGAACGAGCGGCTTGATAATTCCGAAATCACGGCGACACCGGCCCCTGAGCCTGCGCAAACGTCTGCGCGTAGACCGCGTACAAGGCGTCTGCCGCCCGAGCCCGTAGAGCGTCCGCGACGCGAGCGTAAGCCATCGCGATACGTTCGTGATTTGACTTCCGGAGAGGGTAACACCTCCGCGAGACCGTCCGATCCTTCGATGCCAGTCGGTCTTCAAGTCCATAGGCCTTCCGTGACGATCGAAGAAGTGCCAGACGAGGGCGGCGAAGCAGGGGGAGTCGAGTACGCGTTGGTTGCAGAGACCAGTGAAGTCGAAGCCTTGGACCCGAGGGACCTTCGCGAGGCAAGAAAACGGCCTGATTGGCCTCGTTGGGAGGATGCCATTTTCGAGGAGCTTGATACCTTGGATAGCGCCGGCACCTGGTCATTGGAGACACCACCTCCGGGAGCGAACATTATAGGTTCGAAGTGGGTGTTTCGTGCCAAGAAGGACGCAAACGGTCACATTGCGCGTCACAAAGCGCGTCTCGTCGCGCAGGGCTTCAGTCAAGTTCCCGGCGTCGACTACTTCGATACGTTCGCGCCGGTGGCTACGCTTGCTTCTATTCGAACTGTACTTGCTCTCGCCGCTGGCAACGACTGGGAACTTCATCAGGTCGACATAAAAGGCGCCTACTTGAATGGTGAACTTACAGACTCTGAAGTGCTCTATATGCGACAACCCCCTGGTTACCCGTTGCCCAACTCCGACGGCAAGGTCCTTCGACTCCATAAGACGATTTACGGCCTAAAGCAGTCTGGTAGACGTTGGTACCAGAAGCTCACATCAATCTTTGTTGATAACCTGGGTCTTACTCGGACTGAAGTGGACCAAGCGGTCTTTTATCGCAGGGACGAAAAAGGTCTGATCATTGTTGCGGTGCACGTTGATGATTGCACGATAGCTTCAACGACGATCCGGCTGATAGAAGGGTTTAAGGCTGGGTTACGAGAGCATGTCGAGGTTACGGATCTCGGTGAGCTTCATTGGCTATTGGGGATTGAAGTGCAACGCGATCGCGAGGCGGGAACGGTTCAGCTCTCGCAGCGCTCCTACGTCGAGTCCATTATACGCCGTTTCAACCTCGAAGAGCTGAAGCCTGTATCTACCCCGATGGAACCGCACCTCCACCTTTCGTCAGCTCAGTCGCCTTTGACTGACGAGGACTTTGCTGCTATGCGAGACATACCTTATCGCGAGGCGATTGGCTCACTGATGTATGCTGCGCTTGGTACCCGCCCCGATATTTCTTTCGCCGTCTCGACGCTCTCCCGATTCTCTGCTAAGCCTGGTCTTGCTCATTGGGAAGCTGTGAAGCGGGTATTCAGGTATCTCAAGGGTACGAAGGGCCTTTGGTTGACGTACGGAGGTGTAAAGAAGAAGTTGGAAGGGTATGCCGATGCTGATGGGAGTATGGCGGAAGACCGACGGGCTATCTCAGGGTATGCTTTCTTGATCAACGGCGGTGCGGTATCATGGAGTTCCAAGAAACAAGAGATCATCTCGTTGTCGACAACGGAGAGCGAGTACGTGGCCGCTGCCCACGCTGCCAAAGAAGCTCTCTGGCTTCGCACCCTCATCGGCGAATTGCTTACTCCTTTTGATGAACCAACTACCCTGTACTCCGACAACCAGTCTGCGATTGCACTCACTGAAAACCACCAATACCATGCTCGTTCTAAACACATCGACATTCGATTTCATTTCATCCGTTGGATCATCGAGGATGGAAAGCTGCATCTGATCTACTGCCCGACGGCCGAGATGGTGGCCGATGCTCTCACAAAGGCTTTGCCCTCACCGAAGGTCAAACACTTTGCTGCCGAACTTGGACTCCGCGCGGTTTGAGGGGGAGTGTTGGAGAGACAAACGCGCCCGGATTCCTCGCAACTGACATTTGCCTTTTCTGGACTATCGTATCTTGTTGACAGTTCCATACGATTCACCTCAGCAACGCTCGTTATTTGATATTTCCACTTATTAGACTTATGATAAACTCATATCAACGGTATCGTTATCTTTGTTCCTAGACGTATCATAGCATACAAGTACCGCGCGCGTCTCGTACGCCAACCTCATCTTTGCATTGTCCCGGAAGACGTGCTGAGTGAGGTGAGACGCGCGCCATACCCTGTCGTTTGTTTACCGTTTGCTTACATGTATCCTGTAGCCTTTGTTGTCTTGCTACAGGTAATCTACTATCTTTGCATTGTCCCGGAAGACGTGCTGAGTGAGCCTTTGTTGTCTTGCTACAGACGACAACTACGTCTTCGCAGAGATCATTCATAGCCAAAATCTGACACTCAGAGGGCTTGTCTATA